ATGAAGATGAAGATGAAGATGAAGATGAAGATGAAGATGAAGATGAAAGATGAAGATGAAGATGAAGATGAAGATAAAGATAAGTAGACAGTTATGATCGACCTGTAATTCTCGCAGGAGATTTCAACATCAACTTTTCGCTGGCCAAATCTGATGAACTGACAAAATTTTTTAAAGAAAAATTTTCACTTTAAATGGTTAATGGTACAAATTATCTAACAACCAAAGGAGCGGCTACCATTGATGCGGGTTTTACCATAAATATTAATAATATTGAAAGAAAAATTTTCATATCTTACTTTAGTTAACGCAATCTACTATTTAATATTGTAGATATGGATGTTTTCTCACCCACAAATAATAATTAAACTTTGCAGTTGGCTAAAAAAAAATAAAAAATTAAAGGTCGTTAAAAAAAATTTTAAATAAATATGTTTTTTGTATATTAAAAAATATGTACATGTGTATGTATATCGCACATTTCTTTCTTTATAGCATTTCCTCTGTTAAGTTTTACTTCTTCCGCGCGTAGGAACAACACGCTCTGAGTTTTTTTTTTTTTAAGTTGACGTCACAATTATGTTTTGTTTTTTAAGTTAACGAGAATAGAGTACTTTAACATTATTGATAATACACACTTCAGTTTTTTATTTGTAACACTATTTTTCAACACTTTTATTGGGGTCACTCGGGACCCCATGCGACTAATTGTGTGATTTTCTTTATGCGCCTAATTTAGGGTTAACATCTCATTTTATTTACAAGACAAAATACATTGGGACAATATAAATATGTAGCTGCACATATGTACGTATGTATGTAAACTCATAAAACTACATACGTACATCAAAAATAAAATAAAAAAAAGGTGCTTACGTTTTTTTAGCGGTTTGGTCTCGAAATATAAATAAATAAATAAATAAATAGTAATTTTTAAGCAAAAACCACAACAGACTTCAATTCTCATATACAAATTTAGGATTACCGTTAATTTCTTCATGATCCAATGATCGGATCTAAGCCAAATTAATATGGAAACACCCTTTAAGTTATCGAAATCAGTTAACGTGGCCCAAAATTATGCGGTAACATACATAAAAAAAATATTCCGACGAATTTATAACCTCCTTTTTTAAGTCAGTTAAACAAATTTTATTGGGAGCGGAGCTCGGAGCGAAATAAAATACTGGAGCGGAGCGATGACAAAAAAACCTTTGCTCCGAAGCCCTGGTTTAGAATCTGATTAAAAGCAAAAAAATTTTGGGAAATGCATCATTTTGTCGGACTGCATTTTGTCTGACTGCAAAAAAGAACGTTGGGAAATGCACCATGAAAAAAAAAGAATTTCGAATAAAAATTAAAAAAATATATAATCATCAAGTGCACCCTGCGAATTTGGAATCTTGTGCATGCGTTTCCATTTTGTAGCACTGCGCCTAAAAATATGCACTAAGGCTGCAGCGGAATGGGAACTAACAACGCGACGCGCCATTGCAGAGCATGGTTGCCCTTAAATGTTCAATGTATTTAAAAAAAATTGCGTTTGCAATATGTATGTATGTATGTACTTTGGTGCGTTTATTCATACCCTGCAGTACGGCGGAGCGACTACAGGACTGATGAATCGGTAGCTACCTGATAAACACCTTCAAT